CATTCTTTGTAACGTTCAATTTTTAAAGACAAAGACTTCAACATCACTTTGTGAACATTTGAAAGCACCTTCCTTGATCACTTTGGATTTGAGCTGTCGCTCCAAAGAGAGCTGACTCGACCACTTTGGACTTCTATATACACTGCCATTGAAAAGTGGCCATCATCACTGTGGTCACCGTCGTTGTCAAGAGAACAACAATGCCTGACAACCCACCACTACTGAAGATCAGTGACTGAATTACAAACCACACTGGATCCACAGTGGTGACTATCCCCCTCTTGCTTCCTATAAAGACTCCTTGCTTCTTCTTTCCTATCTTTTCTATTGCCCTCCTTCCCTTCCCTTTCCCATTACCCTAATTCAGAATAGTGTCCATCCTCCCCTTCCCCATCTCCCTGATTAAGATTTGTAATAAACTTCAGATTTGTAATAAACTTGTAATAAAGTTCAGATCAAAATTTGAATCATTGTTTCTTAATCTCACGCCAAGTATACAGATATCGAAGAACATCCTCTCCCTCCTATAAATTGGAGCGAGACAGGAGCATACACAGAATCAGCCTTTAGATCACTACAAAAACATGATCTCGTATTTTCCTACTAGACTGTGTCTTATAGATCTGACCTATGTATCAGTTTATGCATATGTATGTATGCATGTCTGTGAAACACTTGCAAGACTGCACTGTTTCAAAAATCTAGGTAGCACCTCTTATTGCTTTTCTCTTTATTAAAATTGAAGAATAATGTGAAAATCCAAGTTTTATTTGGTTTAATTTTTCTAAGGATCACACAATCTGATGGACTAATAGAACAACACTAGTTTTTTGTCCTTCAAAAAACATTCCATCTGAGATTTCAGTTGCGTATAACAGAAAAATAGTAGGCATAGAAGGCATCTAAATTATTTACAAGTACATTTATAAATCATCTCAATAGAACAGTTGCAGTTTATTCAACCAGCACATCTCAAATACATTTCTTAAATATATTGCATATGCCATTTCTCCAAGTCCAACTCCACTTAGGCTGCACTAAGACTGACACAACAGGAACCCTCTCAGCACTCAGTCGACGCTGGTTACAAGAGATCACTGAGCATTCAGTGCTGCACATAACTTCATTAACCAAAATTCAATTCAAGTGATTGAAGTTTCACTTCAAAATGACACATATCTCCTGATAACACACTTCATACTCACTGCAGCCACAAGCTCATTTCAAACAATTTTTTGTTTAACCGCAAAGCATTTGCCCATCACTTTCAAGGACTGAATCAAAACATATCACTGCATACATTTCTACTAATAAGTGAAACACTGTACTTTTGTTTCTGCTGCTCACTCTTTCCACCTTTTTTTTTTTTTTTTTAAGATCAGGCCAGGAACACATGCAACAACAGAGATCCAATAATAATCTTTTTTCCTACCTTAGCTGAATTCCAGAAACATATATGGGTCATCAGAGCTCTCGATCTCTCATCCACACAAGGCATGAGTGGTTATTTCATCCTTGTTTCTTTTGTCACTGGAGAATGGTGACATTTTGCATGTAATATACAGCATCTGATCTCACTCCTGTTGTAATATGAGATGCAGGTGATGTTAGCAAACTAAGGGATGCATGCTACTTGAACATAACAAATAGGGCATTAAACAAATGATGCAACATAACAGCTAGTATTCTGAAAACACTGAGTCTGCTAATATACTGTCTGCCCTTGTTTACAGGGTATTACAGATTCACTACCACTTTACAAGTTAATGGCATTATGAAACAACAGACTAAAACAAAGCCAGCTATTAAATAAAACTAGGACAGGTAGCCTAAACCATTCAGTGAACAATTCTCCAAGTTAAGTGTATAAGAATCTCCTTCAGACTAAAATTGAACTCTGCCTATTTTTTATATTGTTTTGTTTGTTTGTTTCTAATGTAACTCTCTATATAAAAATAAATAAATAAATGATAAATAAATCCTAAGGAAACTTAAGTGTGCACACTCTTACATTCACTTGCCTGACTGCTGAGGACGGAGGGTGCTAGTGTTCCAAAGCATTCAATAGATGTTTTCAGAGATGAAGAAATACAAACACTGTCTTCTGCTGGCCAAAGGTGATTGGTAATACTGTGGCCAGCTCTGTTAGGCTAGTTATAGCTTAGAATATGGTAGGAGTTAGAGCTGTAGAGCTCTAACACATTTGAATTTTGTCAACTTATTTTTGTCTTTTGTACATACCGAGGCACACTGAGAAGATGGAATAACTTAGGGATGCAAAGTAACATCTGAAAGGTTGTCACTGATAAACAGTTCAGTTATGCCACAAATATTTATGTAACTGCATTTGTAACACTTTAATATCACTTGAACTCTAAAAGTGACTGTTCAGAGGGTCTGATTACACTGTGTCTTCTAAATTGAACTTGCTATGAGTGGCTGCCAAACAACAGACAGATCCATTTGTGAATGGTATCTACGCCACACACAAGAGATCAGTGGATCTCAGACTATATTTTACAGAGAAGGCATGGTTTATACATCAGCATTTAAACTCCAGGCTGGACTCCCAGATCACAGGTACTTAGAGCAGAAATCATTCAACACAGTGAGTTTCTTCATAAGCTGCCACAAGGCAGACAGCAAAAGAATATTCTCCCCTCTTTTAATGTAAAGCAATAAAAGAAAATAAATCAATTTCTGGTTTGGATTCAGAATTCCTTTACTTTTCCCAGCCTTCAGGAAGGAAAAACATCTCAGTAGATCAAAATGCTTTTCCTAGGTTGAAATACTCTTAGACTTTCTTCCCTATAACTCGCACACTCACTGAAAGCACTGGTGAGATGGAGGAAAGGAGGCAGAGAGCAGAGCTAACTGGGTAGAGCTGATTATAGGGTTTTTTGTTTGTTTGTTTTGTTTTTTGTTTTTTTTTTTTTGCAGGAAATACAAATTGAGTTGGTGAATCTAGCAGTATAAACAAGTGACAAAATAGTCTTATTTCTTCAGACTCTGAGAATAATTTATATAATTGCATATTATGTCATTAGCTCCATAAAATGTCATTGTTATGCACTGCAAATAGCTCTAAGTTAAAATAAACTACAGTAAGAGGTCTTTGAAGAATAATGGCATTGGTACATATTGATGCAAATGCAGAATATTAAAGGTCACAAGTTAAAACATAGATCAGAAATCTATATTATTGTAACAGAACCACAAGTTTTGCTGCAGAACACATAAAATGCTTTGAAAATACTATGTCTGTTTAAACACATTTAAACATTTAAATGTGTTAAAAACATTTAAACACAACAACAAAATCATCCAGAATACATTTATTAACTTACCGTATTTCTTCCTCTTTCTGATTTTCAATTAGAACTTGCTGGCATGAAGGATCCATCAAAATTCTGAAAATCTTACAGACAAAAATAATTAAAAACATCTTTTGTGTTTGCTGTTATTATCATGTTAAAGATTTGTACCAGCTTCTGGCTGTACATCTTATCAGACTGGAAAGCAAAGGAAGGAGTTTGCTGCTGTTCCCAACGTTAGAGATGGAACTTTCTCAGTGTTAACTGTAATAGAAAAATAAAGAGAACAAATTCAATGTCATGATCTGGAGAAAATCAGGCAATAAAAAGAAAACACAGCCTTCTAAAATAACAGTGGCACTTGTTTTTTCGGGAGGATTCCTAACTCTTCATATCGGTCTGCATTATACAGCTCACTGTGGAAGAGTCAATATTTAATTAATGATGATTTTTTTTGTTGTGTTGCAACAACAGTTGACAAAGCAAAATGAACATATGAACACATACACAAAAAAAAATCAACAATTACCTTTAAACCAAAATATTTCAATTTCTCACTTCTCAAAATCACCTAGGGAATATTTGCCAATTGAAGATTTTTACTCAAAGGTAAAAGTTTGAGGTTTTTTATGTTTATTTTTGTTTATTTGTGTAAGAAAGGTATGACCGAGTAGAAATACACAAAGGTAAGTCTGCACTGCATATAAACTCCATTATACAGTTCAACACCATGAATTCACCGAGATCATATTACCTTCTGCATGAAATACAAGCACCTCATGGAAAGAATAGGGCAGTTCCTAGCTGGGCCAGGTGCTGGTTCTGTAGGGGCTCAGGCAGATTTGTAACCACCTTAGTCCACAAGGGAAGATCCTTGTCTTCTTACATAACTACAGCTATGAGGTGGAACTGGGCTGCTGCGCCTATCTTTTCCATGAAGCACTGAAAGCATTAAGAAGATCAGTACTCCAGTCAGTTAGCTGCTGCTATTGAATAAACACATGATTACTACTAATACATATAAGGTAATTTTCCCAGCAGCAAAATAAGTAACTTACCATTTTCATCCACCGACTTTCAGTAACTAGCTAAGATTCTCAAATAAAATTATTAATCCTAAACATTTAGAATTGCAGACCTCTGGCAACAAAATATGAAACAACAACATTTTAAAAATGATCCTTCTTTTTTTTCTTTTTGCAAGGTGATTCTCTTCTTAGTGTTTCTTTAGTGTAGACACTTAAAAACTGTTTAGAAAAACTTTAAACTCTTCTTTTTTTTTTTTTTCTTATTTTCTTCTGCTATTCCCTGTGCTTTAGTTTGCACTGACTACAGGGAAGAAAAAATGTAAAGGAAGAAAAATATTTTAAAAATCTGCTTATTTTTATGTGATTTAATTCTTGATTTCATTTTTGTCAAAAAGGCAAAACAAAAAAAGAGGAGTCTCCTTTGTGATGTCCTCCTATCCCAGCCACATTAATCATCTTTGCAGATTATTAATAACGTAGTTAAATTAAAAACCTCAAATACATTATCAGACATCTCAGTATTTGATATTGATTCTGCTGTCTGAACAGGTTAACTACATGATTTTTTATAATAACTGCAAGAATAAATTATATTTCTCTGGATTTACAAGTCTGAAAATAAAATAATATAAAAATAACATTCTCAAATAAGTTGAGAAGTATTTTTCAGTCAACCTGGTAATAACTACTTCTATTGTATTAATCTTAGATGTGTACAACATATTTGATTTATATGGAAAAGCATTTATATAGAACTATCAAAGACTCCAATTTTCATATAACTCACAAGTACCAAAAAGGGAAGAAAGAGGACTTTGTATATTTTCACACACAGATCGGAGATGCAAAGTAGTAAATCTTTATAATCGCACTTCTTTAAAGTCTGCAGGAATCCTAAACAATCAGAATCAATTAAGTATATGCATTTTAAATACACAAGTTGAATGGAACAAAATAGTGAAGTGTTACTGAATAATTTTAACTTGTGAAGTATTAGCCATGCAGTTTGTCTTCAGAACTAATATTCTGAAAAACTACTAAAACACAGGATAAAAAATTCTACATTTAATTGAAGTTAAAAAGAACAGAGACTTTATAACTTTACACAGTAGAGATTATAACATAACACAAGATTACATAACACACACATGTAGTGTTACAACTTTCTCTCACACACCAGCATGACATCTATGCAACCTGTTCCACACTGAAGTGGTATGTTAAGGAACAACATAATATTAACTGTTCTTCACATGCAATTCTCTTTCAGAACTCTCTTCGTATGAATTTATCTCAGTAGGTAAATGCCATGGATTATTTTACACACTTACAATACAGTCTGGCAGACTACGCCTATTGCCTAACTATGTCTTATTCCTTTTAAATATCTAGGGGACATGGTTCTAATTTCAAATTTGCAGATTCAGCTAAAGATCACACCATTGCCAGCAGAAACCTTGCAGGTAACTCATTAAAGCCAAACTGGTCGCATGTAGCTCAGGAAAGATCTATTGCTATTTCTGTGCTGGTGCTGTGGTGGTTGAAAAATCTATCACAAAAGACAGATCTGAGAAGAGAGATTAAAAAAAAAAAAAAATCATGCTGTTCATTCAGTTGTTCCCACTGCAGTTCAGAAAACCTGAACTCTCTTCCCATAAAAACTAGAACCAAGGTGTTTCAACACTAGTTCATTTTATAAAACATTGTCTAAAATAAATACGAAAAATTGGCCAGTGACAGTCTTAATATTAACTGCTGATATCTCAGGATTTTCAAATCCAATCACTCTCTGAAGTTACATTTTTTCTACTCTTGTAGATAACAATTTCTTAGTTATCTAAATGTGATATAAAGAAGACCTGCAGCAATTCTTTTCCAGAGTTTTACTCCAGTAAACAACTCAATGTGATATTTGGGAGAATTTCATTTTGTTACCTAGGTTTATTTCTCCCATGGCTCATTAACAAGATTAACAAAACAAAGGTAGCTAAATGGGATGAAGAAAACAAGGGCATCTGATTTAGCAGTAGGAAACACTGGGAAACAGCTGTTCACCAGAAAATCAAATACATATTAACCAGACAGCTGGAGCTGCTCAAGCCACTCACTCAGGAAGTCTTTCCACTTACCTTGCCAGTTGCAGTGATGAGTATGAATATAATAGTTGAACTAAATTGTTTATTTATTTTTTTTACTTCTGTCATGTTACACGCAACGACAAGCATTTCTGTCATTGTCTAGAACCTAAGTTGACAGATTTCCACAGTTTCTATGTCCATACATCCTGACATCTCAAGAATCAATTCAAGTTAATCAGTACCATCTAGTAATAAGAAAGCTGTAAATAAAGTGAGATAAAGTCATGTCACAATAAAATGCGGCATTATAAGAATTGAATAAAATATGCCTGAATAGAATCAGCAATCAATCACATAGACAAATTCTGTCTGGCTTCCACTTTAAGATTTGTAATGGTGTGTGAAGCTTAGATATAGAAATAGTTGCAGACAGCCAGGGGTTGAAATATCCAAGCTTTCCAGGCAGCATCACTAATATCTAGGTTTCTAAGGCAGGAGTTGAGAAAGCAAAATTTATTTAGAGCTGGTTGGATTTTTTAGTTTGTTTCTTTTAAATTGTCTCTTCAACTTCTTATTTTCAACTTCTTATTTTCCTTCAAGTGATTGCCTTTTTTTCTGTCCTGCTACCATATAAAAAGGTGAGAAAAATAACATGCGAACACAGTTGTTTCTCCTGACTATGCCTACTAGTCAGGTGAGAAGTCTGGAGTATGTACACATACAAGTGGAACACTTTGGAACATGAGATCCATTCTTCTCACACATCATAATTAGCTGTCAGTTTCACCATGGACATTTTCCATGTGCACTTTGAGGTAGTCATTTCTTGTAAACTTCTTGTGGCAAAGCTGGCATTCTGCCATTGGTCGATTGGGGTTGTGAGTCAGCTTATGTCGAATCAGCATTTTCTTCAGGCTGAAGGACAAATCACAAACCTAGGCCAGAGAAGACAATACAAAGACAACAACAGAGATCTTAAAACTTTAAATATGTATAATTATACATCACTGACGTCACAGCTATGCATGCCTGCAAGACTTAATAAATGAGTTTGTCTTCAAAAGAATAACATTTCAGAGAACATTTCTAAGATTATTACTCTGTCTTTCAATGCTGTACCTTAACAATCTGCAACGCATGGAGGTATTTCAGTAACATTACTTTTTGAAAATTTATTTTCCTCTCTCGACACAACAAAAATTTAGACAAAAATCTGACAAGCATCTGTCAATTTAACGTCAAGGGAAATGCTTTTTTTCTGATCAGCAGAATGAGATCTGTGGGATCATAAAAATCAGTTCAAATTGCTCAATTATGAGGAGGCAGAAATGAGAAAGAGGGGGTTCTCAGTACTGCAACAAAGCTTAATAACAATAAAAGAGGAAGCCCAACTGTCGTGGTGTTCTTTTGCCTGGCCAAGGAAAAAGATAATAGTTGCAAATAAAAGTGCATTTCCTTTGCTTTATAACCGGCTGTTTCTTCCCTTCCTCCTCTGCACTCCATGCTTTCAAGTCCACTCTGCTATTTGAATAGACAGATAAGGGATAAGGGACTCTGCTATGCTAAAACAATCATTTCTTACACAAATTTCTGTATTGCAGTCAAAATGAAAGGTTAACAATAAGTTCAGCTAGGAGAAGTTAGAAAAGAAAGAAAAGTAAGAATCTGTAAGCAAGACATCAAGTTACTTGATATCATGCACTTAATGCTGTCACATTCAACTTCCATCCAAGTATATACTGTAGGCATGAATTTCCCAGAAAAAAATATTTTTAGAATGTATGCTCCTGATTTGACAAATGAAACAGTCAGCGATCATATCAGTAGATGAACATGTACAGGCTTGCAATCTTGGAATTCCAGACAAAAACAAGTCTTGTGCAGAGGAAACTCAAGAGAATCCAGCAGAATCTCTCTGATGTAAAACAGAATTTCAAATTTATATTGGTATCAAACTAGTAATGAAAGTGCTGGATGGCTCTTTTTAAAAGCAAAGTATACAAACAGAATTGACTATACAAACAGATAATTGTGACTTGCAGAATACATATACTTTTGGTATACTGATAGACAGTCAGATGAATATGAGCCAGCAGTGTGACCAGGTGGCCAGGAATGCCAGTGTCATCCTGGCTTGTATCAGGAATGGTGTGGTGAGTAGGACTAGGGAAGTAATCCTGCCCCTGTACTCAGCACTGGTGAGGCACCACCTCAAGTACTATCTTCAGTTTTGGACACCTCAATACAGAGAGGACACTGATATGATGGAGTAGGTCCAGAGAAGGGCAACAAGGCTTGTGAAGGGCTTGGAGAATATGCCCTATGAGGAGAGACTGAAGGAACAAGGGCTGTTCAGTCTAGGGAAAAGGAGACTGAGGGGAGACGTTATTGCACTCTTCAAATACCTGAAAGGTGCTTACAGCGAGAGCGGGGTTGGTCTCTTCTCACTGGTGACAGGGGACAGGATGACGGGAAATGGCTTGAAGTTGCGCCAGAGTAAGGTTAGGTTGGGTACCAGGAAAAACTTTTTCACAGAAAGGGTTGTTAAGCACTGGAATAGGTTCCCCAGGGAGGTGGTTGAGTCACCATCCCTGGATGTGTTTAAAAGCCATTTGGATGTGGTACTCAGGAACATGATTTAGCAGAGGGTTGTTAGAGTTAGGGCAGTATGGTCAGGTTGAGGTTGGACTCGATGATCATTAAGGTCTTTTCCAACCTGAACAATTCTACGATTCTATAAATGCCAGCTAAGGCAAAACTATACAACGACCATAAAAAAGGCAACAGCCTGAGGCAAGTTTTGTACCAAAAATATTTTTCCCCAGACAAGAACATTGTATGTGCTATTGCGATGGAACACTTCTGAATTTATGACATGATGTAACAGAGAGAACTATTATACAGCAACTGTAACTCTCCAACTTTTTTCCCTAAGCATATAATTACCTCTTTCAGCCCCAAGCAACAGTCACTCTTTGTTAAGGGATGATGAATGTTACTTACAGAATTCACTGGTTGGGTCTTAATACTTCTTTTGTCAAGTACCATTTTCTATTTCTCTTCCACAGAGAAACTCATGTACCTAATCACTACCATCACACTTGCCCTCACGTTTGAATGTGTTACAAGTGTCATGTCTTTGTAAACACATTTACTGGAAGCTAGGAAGTCAATCATGGATATACACACACAAGCTGCATGTATTCTGTGCATCTTACATACACCTCACAATTTAATAAACAAAAACAAACAAACAAACAAACAAAAAACCAATGAGAACATAGTAACAGGTAGAGTTCAAGATGCCAGATTCAGCTTCCACTAAGCTAACTTCCAAAAATTTCAGCATGAAATTGCATATTGTATTTACAAGAAGAGAAGACAGACAGTTTGCAGAAACCCTCCAAGGTAGAAGGAAAATCTGTAGTATCCACTTTGAATATGACAAAAATGTCAGAACATAAAACCACAGAACAAAAAAAAACAGCCTAAGAGCCATTCAGACCAGCATTAACCTTCTTCCAAAAGTTTTCAATAGCAAAAAAGGCTAAGGAGCAGGGCAAATATAACATAAATCTCTTTTTGATGCAGTAGGCCAATCAGCTTTAGAGATTTTCTCAGTAGTTCTTAGTATTAAAAATAAACTATTCTTATGAGTATTATTAAAGATAAATCTCTTGATTTTTAAGATGAACTGCTTATAGCACAGTCTCATGGTAATTTTTTTCATTTATAATGCTCACTAAACAACTGGATCTAGAACCACATGTCCTGCTGTTGCTTCAAGGCTCTAGGATATTTTACTATCAGACTTCTTCAAAAAGAAAACAGGGAATGCATTACCTAAAGTGACATATCTTGTGCTTACTCATTAACAAGCATACAAATATCTTGTTTTAGGAGTTTGCTTCATATTTCAGTTTTACAAGCAAGGCTGACATTTTACAGATGTACAACCATCTCGCTTATTTACACTGGTATTCAAATCATTCTCTCCAAAATGATAAAAGTTTTGATTGAATAGGGAGGATGGAGACAACTGACGTGTAAAAATAAGTGCAGAGTCAACTAAAGATGGAGTGGTGGGAAATACTGCACTGGAAATAAACCAGGATAAGTAGCGCTTGATTCTTCTGTCCCAAAAGAATAATATCTTGTCTCTGAGGAAACTGAAGTTCAACTGGCCTTCCAGTTAAAAACAGGCAAGTCTTCAGAGGACAGAAAGCCAATATACTAGGATAAACATATTTCGTGTTTCTGTATTTCAGTTTTCATTTTCCCTTGTGAAATATTGGAAGTTTAAAATAGTAATATTCAATTTCCACTATTATCAATGGAAAGTGAAGTCTTTGATTGATTAAAAGGTCTAAAATTGCTTTTGATGACTGATAATACACAGAAATGAACATGTAAAGAAAGTGGGGCACCTTCATATGGACTATATGGATTACTTTTACATGTAGCACAAGCCTGTATTAAATGACACAGGAAAGCACTGTAAACACTTGGGCAACTGAATATTGTATGAATGAGCAATAGTGGCAACTGCTGCACATGTTAAAACCCTGAAAACTCAGCAATCTCTGTAGTGTGTTGTTGACCAAACATGCATGCTGAAGAATGATTTTAGTGAAACATGACTGTAATTGAAAGCATTAAAAAAATCTGCAATAAGTGAAGGTACATAAGACTAATTCAATCAGTGCTAGAATCACAAAACAAAGAACCTGCACTCATTTTCTTCCCTGAACTGATACCCTCACTAAATCTTTGAACAACAATTTTCAATCTCGTAATTGGTAATTCTGAATGTCATTTCTTTCCAATTGTTTCTGCACAATCAACCTTTCCACACATCCTGGAAGTGATGAGACACATTGTATAGGATGGGGCATACTGTAATTGACTGTGATCTATGAGCTATAATACAGTATTCTGCAATTCAAAATTGCAAACATACACAGCATCAGTGATTTCTTCATTGTTCAAAGAAAACACATGGATAGTTATTGAAAATAACACACCAGATTTCATTGAACAAAAATAAGAAATTCTAAATTTATACTTGTGTTACTGAACAACATCAGAAGCATTCAGATTCCATGTAATGTCTTTAATAACTTTTTCTGTATAAGCTGCTCTCTCCAACTATTAACCTGTCAAACAATCAAAGGGAAACCCAACTAGCATGAATTTGTAACTTGCAATACCTAAATCGCATTAAGAACAGTGAAAATAGCACTTTTGGGAGTCAAAACCATTAAAAAAGTGAGTGCAATGCTCTTGGCAACAGCAGAGAATATGTAAAATTCACCAGAATGGTCTTTCATGAGTTAGGCAAAGACCTTATTACGGGTAACTTTATGCCACAGCTAATGGATGCAAGGCCATATTCTCACCGAAGATAAGCCTTGCTCCTGCGCTGAAATTGAGAAAACAAAAGGATAGATCAACTCACATCACACTGAAACGGCTTCTCTCCGGTGTGGGTTCTCATGTGCTCATCTAGGCCTCGTTTTTGACTGAAAGCCTTGTTACATTCAGAACATTGGTATGGCTTTTCCTGTATGAAATGACAACAGTGAGTGAAAGTGAGTCAACACAGAGCCCAAGTCATTAAAGGAGTGGAATTCCATGCTGGATGATGGTGCAAGTTTTATATTTTCTCTAAGGGATTACAGTCAGTGAAAACAACAGAAAACGACTTTCAGATGATTAAGTGAAAGCTGGGAAAGCTGTGGCCTGACAGTTTCCACTTCAACACCCACTTATGAATTAATTATCTGTTCCAGTCTTTTAAACCCAGCCATTTTGGAAATCTGTTTTTTGTAACATGAAAGGTATGAAAACATAAAATTTCAATGTGTTTTCCTTCATCCACCACAAAAGCTTAAAGAAAAAAAGACTAGTAAGATGTCTATAAAACCTCACATTCTTTACCAGGTTTCCAAGCAAGGAAAGAAATGAAGGGAAGAACTGGGGATACCAGAAAAGTTTGCAGTAGAGGAAAAAAAGCTTATTTTGAATAAAGTGATGACAGAAGGTTAATAACAAATTCACTGCAGAATCCCAAAAGTGCAGATGGCAATCTAGCCAACTGCATTTTTTTTAGAACTATTGGTTAGCAGCTACTGTAAAACACAATGTTATAAAAGTAGCAAGTTCACTGACCTCAAATACTTAAATATTAGAGGTATGTACGGAAAATCACTTATATAGAGATTTCCTTCTTCAAATTTCTTCTGTAATATATAAATCTACATATAGGTAATTCCTCCTTTATTCCACTACATTTACGAAAGAACTGCATGGAAAACAACATCTAAATAAAGTAATTAAATATGAACATAAGCATTATGGCACTACAAATTGTTCCACTGATGACTCTGAAGGTCTATAGGCACTTTTATTTTCAGTCAATTGTACTTCTTCTGTTTTCACCCTACATTTTTTTTTCTGTGTTCCCTAATTACATATCGCTTGAAATCAAAAGACAGATGTTAAAATAACCACTAAGGATTTTCTACTAGGTAAAATTGGAAATAAAGACTGACAATCAATAGGCAATAAAAATGTTAACTCCATGAATTAACAAATTATAGTAATTAACCTTATATGGTCTTTTGGGAGATAGTGTGAGATCTATGCTAAGGGAGAAAGAACAATTCAGGTAAGGTTTTGAAGCTAAAAACTGATACTGAATTCCTATTCTGAGTATGCAGGGGAAAATAAATCTCTATATATTGCTTAATCCTGCCAGGTGCTCAGCATAAACTGTATAAATTAAACAAACAGAATATCAACCAGTGCTGCTTTGGGTAAATCCCAAGCTCTTTCTTTAGGGCAGCTCTCTGCAGTATCCAGAGTTCTTCTGTTGTAAGCTATGAGAGTGAGCTCCCCATGAAGTTCCTTAGAAAAGGTTCTGTCAAAGAAATGTCCCAGCTTGCAGTGACAGGAATCTGTATCAACACGGAAAAGTAGTTCTTTAGCAATATCAATTTTACATTTTAGCATTATGAAATTTGGAGAAGTACATTCTAGTTTGATGCAAGACTAAACTGTCTGCTGACACAGCCTGACTATATGGTGTCCAGCTGCACATCATTAAATAGGCCTAATAGAAGCCCTTAACAAAGTTTTCTTTATAAGATTCTCCTTTGTAAGAGATTCTTCTTTGTGTTTTTTTCAACAACTTAATTTTGTAATTTCCATAACACTTTAGTGTATAGTAAAACATAAATTACTTATAAATGATCTGATCTTAAATTGCCATCTAGACTAAAAACTTTTAATGAAAAATTTCCCTGGACTGCCTGAAGACTTCATGAAACATTATTTTTTAAGGCAATACATGGATAAGCGATATGAAAAGCAGGTTACTGCAACACTTTAATTGGCTCAGCATTGTGGTTAATATAAAGCATATTTTCTGTGAGTTCTCAGAAAACAACCTTTCTTTGCATGGGTTGTAAAGAAAGGTTTCTTTGCATGGGAAAATGTAAAATATGTGATGTGTATACCTAAAACACCTCTGAAAAAATTCAATTATTGCAAACAGTGTCAGGTGCATTTGCTTCCTTTTTATCATCTTGTTCTAAAGGAAACTGAAGTGTAAAACTTGATTGTGATTAACTTCACCATTTCAGATCCAAATGGGCTTCAGAGTTGCCCAGGTTCCATTCTAGAGAGAAAACCAATATGAACACCAGGAAGTTAGTCACAAGCCTGGGCAGAAATATTGCCCCTGAGGTTATATGCATCTATTTGTATGATCTGTATAATTCCCTACTGCGGGGGGGGTGAGGGGGGAGGGAAGGCAAAAAGGCATATCTATTTATTCTCTTGGTATTTACATTCAAATTCACATATGTAGTGTATGAAATGATATCCAAAGCAGTCTTTGATCTTATTTTTAGATCCCTTACATCTGTATATATCGACTTAGCAGTCACAGTTTTGATTCACATTAGCCTGCTCTCTCCATTAAGCTGCCCTTCATTCCTAACTATGTCCATTAAAAAAAGCATAAGATAAATTATAATAAAAAAGCTGTGTTATCCAGTTATATATATACACACATATATGTATGTATGTATGTATGTATCTAAAAACACAGCAAGAAGTCTGAAGAAATTGAAATGCCACCACAAAAGGACAACATTGACAATTATAAGATTTGAATAAAGTTGGAAAAGGGAATAACCAGCTAACTGTCAACAAAACAGGAAGTCAGTGAAAAGATCATATAAGTTTGGCTTCAGAAGAGTTAGCAGCTGCTAGTAGAATAACTCTACCCTCAGTTCTAAAGGCATCTGCCAGCCCATGGTTATGGTGGCAGCACAGCCAAAGGACTACATGTGTTTCCTTTTATTGATGATTCAAGTGAGGAAGGGAGCTGGGAGATCAAGAGAGACAAGATTTGGCTGATACGTAAGTGATTTAATATTACTCTTTTAAGTATATCATATTACTCTTTTAGGTATACCAGGTCTAAATAGAAATATATAGATGGGGATTTATAACGCCTCTGCCTCTAAACACAGAAAGGCAAGAAAGGTCTAAGAGAGCCTAAATGAGACTTGCCATTCTGGAAGGTGTTTCTCTGTAAAAATGGTACTCTAACATAGAAGCACCCATCTTTGATGGTTTTCAGTTTATCAAATAAAAATAAATAAATAAAATAAAAAGGGAGAGAGGAATTTTAACAACCATGATAAATAAAACAGAATCTTCTCTTCAGTGCACACCTTCTCTGCCTTTGGATGGCAGAATCATAAATAACTACCTTGGATTCAACATAAAGTGTGCATTGCACTGAAAAAAAATGAGAACAGGACAAATTTTAAAGGCCATTTGATGCCAGCCTGAACAGATTGGTGGAACATGTGTACAGTGTATCCTGCAACAACAGCAGATGGAAATACTTACATGCATAGTATCTGAACTGCTAACTGCTGCTGTAGTTGTCTGTTGCTGCAGTTGTTGCTGTGTAAACTTGCTAAAATTGATTGCAAAGGAAAAGCATTAATGATTTTGGTATGACCTTTTCCAAGCAACCTTTTAAATCTGACCCTGGAACTATCACATGGGTTCATCATCAGCAACAAGAAAAAACACAATCCAGAAGACAGTACTTCCAAATAAAATACAACTCAAGATTCAAAGTTAAGAGTGTAAAGAATTAAGAGTGTAAAGAGTTAAGAATAGTTCTGGCAACCCTTTCAAATATGGCAAGCGCAAGCTAAAACTGGGATAAACCCATAATCAAGAGATCCTATTCTTTACTTTTTTGAGTAATTTTCTACAGTGATTGCAGAGTTATACTACTCAAAGTGAACTTGTTGACTACAGAAACGTTACTCAGTAATCTTTTTCAGAGCTTAGAACTGTAACTGACATACAGAGCATGCTTAACATACCACTGCTATCCAGAACTGTGCTCATTTTTTAAACCTCCTGAATTCAGCTGATTTATTTCCTATCAACAATCCACATATTGCTCATTTCTTTTTGTAGATCATGTTCATACATCAAACCATTCATGAGAGTTACTAGAATGTCAGGGTGAAATACACTGAATATCTTAAGTGTTACATGACAATCTATGAGCCGGATGTGAATTTTCTTTGTGCTGACAACTGAACACTCAGGGAAGCCAAGAGAAACATGGAAAAACATATTACATCTTATATTACTTAAATAATAGTAAAAGATAGTAAAAGATTTTTTTTTTCCTCTGGAAACGTTTTAAATTCTTATCTCTATAACACACTAGTCTAGAGGCAAACATGACATATTTGGGGAAAATGAACAATAAGGTTGCTACCTGTTATCATATTACACAAACAAATCTTCTTGGTAAAGCCAGAATAATTTTGAAAAGATCTCAATCCAAGTTCCTTAGTAAACTGCAAATACAGAACTTTAAGGGGTGTCATTTACTCTTACTAAAGGAAACATAAGAGCTAAAATAATGAAGTGTTGTTGAAAATATTAGCAAGAATGGAAAAATGTGGACTAGAACAAACAAACACGATCACTCAGAAAACAAAGTATATCAGCCAGACTTGCAGCTATGAACAACTAACATCTCAACTAGCATCCCTGGAAATCCAGAAGCTCAGTCACTCTGAACAACATAGGAAAAGCAGCGGTGTAACCTACTGTAGAATTTAGGACAGACATACACTGACTTCTGCAAGCATTATTTAAAGGTCATCTTAAGCATTCAGAGAAGTTTAAGACATAAATGTTTTATATTTCACATGCACCGTTTCTTTGTATGCTTTAAATCTTTCGCTAACACCTGTTACAGCCTATTTTATTCATTACTGATTATAAATGCTGATGTGTCCCTCAAACTACAGTCAGAAGCTCTCTGGCCAACTGGAGATGACATCTACTAAAAAAGGTGACCAGAACAGGTATCAGTTTGGTCAGCAGTCCCATCTGAAAGGGAGCTGAAGACACAGAACTACAAGAGCCTGGAAGGAGTTCAACCTGAGGTAGCCTACACAGGGTTCATGATGCATACCTGTAAACTACTAAAACTGCAAGGTGAGC